AAGTTTCCTAAGAGCTAGTCGCGAGGCCGCCATCTTCGTCGGCGCCAGGAACCTTTCAGTGAACATATTGGTAATAAAGTTACCTCCATACTTTAATTGGTGAACATACAGCAAGTTCATTCCCTTCAATAATATGTCATATTTTCCTAACATACTGTAGCTCTCAGATTGATTACTGGAATTCTTTAAACAGGCGTAAGTAAAATGTTAGGCTACGTTGTTTACATTTTAAATATATAAACCTCTCTGTCTTCCACACATAGAACGCTAGGAGGGAAGAGAATGATATCCAAGATGTACAGATTTTTTAAATATATTAGACCCAGTGATATGCACCCCATCAGTGACTTCCCCGAGCTATGGATATCCATCTGTCTGACTACCTTGAAGTGCTCCAAGGATCCAAAATTGATAGATACAATACAAGGTACCAGAGAACTAGTTACATTGACTTAACTATTTCTCATGGGACTCACTAGCTAGGTTTCCATCCAATTGGCGACAGATTTTCATGTGAATATTCAAACATTTTCCCACCAGAGATGTTTCCATCAAATTGACTTGCTGTGTGATGACGTAGTGCACATAAAAATAACGTTTGTGGTTAAATTCCCATGTACTGATTTAAAAATATAAGTTAAATGGGTTTCCATTGCATTTTCAACTCTACTGATGGTTTTGTCAAAAATAAAATTGCGTTATATACAGTGAGGGAAAAAAGTATTTGATCCCCTGCTGATTTTGTACGTTTGCCCACTGACAAAGACATGATCAGTCTATAATTTTAATGGTAGGTTTATTTGATAAGTGAGAGACAGAATAACAACACAAAAATCCAGAAAAACGCATGTCAAAAATGTTATCAATTGATTTGCATTTTAATTAGGGAAATAAGTATTTGACCCCTCTGCAAAACATGACTTAGTACTTGGTGGCAAAACCCTTGTTGGCAATCACAGAGGTCAGACGTTTCTTGTAGTTGGCCACCAGGTTTGCACACATCTCAGGAGGGATTTTGTCCCACTCCTCTTTTGCAGATCTTCCCCCCCCCCCCCCCAAAGCATAATGTTTCCACCTCCATGTTTGACGGTGGGGATGGTGTTCTTGGGGTTATAGGCAGCATTCCTCCTCCTCCAAACACGGCGAGTTGAGTTGATGCCAAAGAGCTCCATTTCGGTCTCATCTGACCACAACACTTTCACCCAGTTCTCCTCTGAATCATTCAGATGTTCATTGGCAAACTTCAGACGGCCCTGTATATGTGCTTTCTTGAGCAGGGGGACCTTGCAGGCGCTGCAGGATTTCAGTCCTTCACGGCGTAGTGTGTTACCAATTGTTTTCTTGGTGACTATGGTCCCAGCTGCCTTGAGATCATTGACAAGATCCTCCCGTGTAGTTCTGGGCTGATTCCTCATCGTTCTCATGATCATTGCAACTCCACAAGGTGAGCTCTTGCATGGAGCCCCAGGCCGAGATTGACAGTTATTTTGTGTTTCTTCCATTTGCGAATAATCGCACCAACTGTTGTCACCTTCTCAACAAGCTGCTTGGCGATGGTCTTGTAGCCCATTCCAGCCTTGTGTAGGTCTACAATCTTGTCCCTGACATCCTTGGAGAGCTCTTTGGTCTTGGCCATGGTGGAGAGTTTGGAATCTGATTGATTGATTGCTTCTGTGGACAGGTGTCTTTTATACAGGTAACAAACTGAGATTAGGAGCACTCCCTTTAAGAGTGTGCTCCTAATCTCAGCTCATTACCTGTATAAAAGACACCTGGGAGCCAGAAATCTTTCTGATTGAGAGGGGGTCAAATACTTATTTCCCTCATTAAAATGCAAATCAATTAATAAAATTTTTGACATGCGTTTTTCAGGATTTTGTTGTTGTTATTCGGTCTCTCACTGTTCAAATAAACCTACCATTAAAATTATAGACTGATCATTTCTTTGTCAGTGGGCAAACATACAAAATCAGCAGGGGATCAAATACTTTTTTCCCTCACTGTAGCTAATGTGCACACTCTGGTCTTGGCATGTGCCCTCTAGCCAACAGCTTGCAGATACAGTGCGGGTAGGCTTTCCTACATGATGAGATTATTATGGACAAAAGAGCGAGATTATTTTTATTTGTCAAACGGCAGCCAAGCATCGATCATCATGTCACCAGAATAAGAGTATTTGCCCCCTTTCTGATTCTCTATTTTAGCAAATGTTTTATACTGAATGTTATCAGATCTAATATTAGATAAAGGGAACCTGTGTTTACAAAGAACACAAGAAATATATACTTATTTTATTTAATTAACAAAGTTATGCAACATCCAATTCCCCTGTGTGAAAAAGTAATTGCCCCCTTACGCTCAATAACTGGTTGTTATAGACTTGATTGTGTGTTTTGGATCCATAAATCCAGCTCTGTATCTGAGAATTCTACAGGAGAATGTCAGGCCATCCGTCTGTGAGCTGAAGCGCAGCTGGGTCATGCAGCAAGACAATGATCTAAAACCCACAATCAAGTCTGCATGAAAATGGCTAAAAAGCAACACATTTGAAGTTTTGGAATGGCCTAGTCAAAGTCCAGACCTAATCCCAATTGAGAGGTTGTGGCAGGACTTGAAAATCCACAAATGTCGCTGAGTTAAAGCAGTTCTGCATGGAAGAGTGGGACAAAATTCCTCCACAGTGACGTGAGAGACTGATCAACAACTACAGGAAGCGTTTGGTTGGAGTCATTGCAGCTAAAGGTGGCACAACCAGTTATTGAGTGTAAGGGGGCAATTACTTTTTCACACAGGGGCATTGGGTGTTACATAACTTTGTTTATGAAAAACACTACATGACCAAAAGTATGTGGACACCTGCTTGTCGAACATCTAATTCCAAAATCATGGACATAAATATGGAGTTGGTTCCCCCTTTGCTGCTATAACAGCCTGCACTCTTCTGGGAAGGCTTTCCACTAGATGTTGGAACATTGCTGCAGGGACCTGCTTCCATTTAGCCACAAGAGCATTAGTGAGGTCGGGCACTGATGTTGGGCGATCAGGCCTGGCTCGCAGTCGGCATTCCAATTCATCCCAAAGGTGTTCGATGGAGTTGTGGTGAGGGCTCTGTGCAGGCCATTCAAGTTCTTCCACACCGATCTCGACAAACCATTTCTGTGTGGACCTCATTTTGTGCACAGGGGCATTGTCATGCTGAAACAGGAAAGGGCCTTCCCCAAACTGTTGCCACAAAGCTGGAGGCACAGAATTGTCTACAATGTCATTGTATGCTGTAGCATTAAGATTGCCCTTCACTGGAACTAAGGGGCCTAGCCCGAACCATGAAAAGCAGCCCCAGACCACTATTCCTCCTCCACCTAACTTTACAGTTGGTACTATGCATTGGGGCAAGTAGCGTTCTCCTGGCATCCGCCAAACCCAGATTTGTCTGTCGGACTGCCAGATGGTGAAGCGTCATTCATCACTCCAGAGAGTGAGAATCCAATAGCGGTGACCTTTACACCACTCCAGCCGATGCTTGGCATTGCGCATGGTGATCTTAGACTTGTGTGTGGCTGCTCGGCCATGGAAATCCATTTCATGAAGCTCCCGACGAACAGTTATTATGCTGACGTTGCTTCCAGAGGCAGTTTGGAACTCGGTAGTGAGTGTTGCAACTGAAGACAGACAATTTTTACACACGCTTCAGCACTCGGCGGTCCCGTTCTGTGAGCTTGTGTGGCCTACCACTTCGCAGCTGAGCCGTTGTTGCTCCTAGACGTTTCCACTTCACAATAACAGCACTTACAGTTGACCAGGGCAGCTATGACGGTGCCACATTGAAAGTCACTGAGCTCTTCAGTACGGGCAATTCTACTGCCAATGTTTGTCTATGGAGATTGTGTGGCTGTGTGCTCGATTTTATACACCTGTCAGCAACGTGTGTGGCTGAAATAGCCGAATCCACTCATTTGAAGGGGTGTCCACATACACTATATATACAAAAGTATGTAATTCTTGTGTTATTTGTTCACTCAGGTTCCCTTCATCTAATATCAGGTTTTGGTTGAAGATCTGATAATTCAGTACCCAAAATATGTAAAAGTAGAGAAAGGGGGCAAATACTTTTTCACAGCACTGTATAGACAACCAACCACATAGGCTACATGCTTTCTAGAAATGCCCTCCCTTTAATGAATTTTGGCAAAGAAAGGAGCTTCGCCATCAAACTTTTCTAACTCTGTGGACAGATGCTTCCTGTGTTCGTTCAATAACACATTTCAATGGTCCCGAGTGGCGCAGTGGTCTAAGGCACTGCATCGCAGTGCTAGCTGTGCCACTAGAGATCCTGGTTTGAATCCAGGCTCTGTCGTAGCCGGCCGCGACCGGGAGACCCATGGGGTGGCGCACAATTGGCCCAGCGTCGTCCAAGGTATGGGAGGGAATGGCCGGCAGGGATGTAGCTCAGTTGGTAGAGCATGGCGTTTGCAACGCCAGGGTTGTGGGTTCGATTCCCACGGGGGGCCAGTTTAAAAAAGATAATGTAAGTCGCTCTGGATAAGAGCGTCTGCTAAATGGCTAAAATGTAAATGTCCTTCTCATGGCTGCCAGACTAGAATGTCTGTGTCACCAAAAGCATCAGGGAAAGGACAGTAACGTCAAAGGCCCAGGACAATCGGACCACAGCCCACAGTCCTATGCACTTGCAGCTCTCCCATCTGACTGAAGCTTTCGCCACAGTCATGGCATCTGTATGGGTTCTCCTTGTGAGTCCTCCTCAAATGTCCTTTCATATGAGCGTCCTGTCTGAACGCTTTCCCGCAGACTGGGCAGACAAACGGTTTCTCCCCTGTGTGAACCCTGATATGCTCGTTCAGATGACTTTTCACTTTGAAACCTTTCCCACAGAGGTGACAGCTGTGTGGTCTCTCCCCTGTGTGAGTCGTCATGTGGTCCCCCAGACCCTTCCTCGCTGGGAACCCCTTTCCACAGACATGGCATCGAAATCGCTCATACGATGCGCGTCTCTTCATAAGTTCCGACAGCGTTCCTATATGCCTAAATGGTCGTCCTCTCTTTGTGTTCCGTTGAATAGGGCTTCCAATCTCTGTTCTGTTCACGTTTTCACTCGGAGCTGCAGAACAGTGTGCGTTTCCTGCAAACAGGAACTGTGGGTCACTCGTTGGTACTCCGTAGCCCTCTCCATCAGGTTCTGTTTTCATGTGTTCCACTAGGGTGCTCGACAGATTATTATTCTCATTGTCCTCCACAATCTGGGTTTGGAAAAGGTGCAAGGGCCAAGGGTCCTGGTCAAACCCACTTTTCACACAAGGAGGAGTGAACACAAACTCTATGTTTTGACTATGAGACTCAGGCCTTTGCAGTTGCTCTTCTACCAGTCTTGTCCTGAGGTCCTGTTCCTCTGTACTTTGTGTGGGCTCTGAACTTTCTTGCCGCAGACTGGGGCTCCTCATCTCCTGCTCAAGGGGAACCTCTTCTTCAGAGACATGCTGCCTAGGGTCTGGAGGGAAGGACAGGCAAATACATGTTAGTCAATACACAGTCATACTAATATTGTCAATGTTTATTGTAAAATTACATGTTTAAATACGAAAACAAATCTTCCACTGACAGTGTTGTAGTACTCGAGACTGGTCTTGGCTCGAGACCACATATTGAGTGTGTCTGTCTTGTCTCGGATACATGTTTACTAGGTCTAGACTCTGTCTCAAACTGTGAGGACTCGTAATTTCATCCCGAGACCAGCCAAGTAAAAAAACTCATAATTATCAGCTTCCATTCAGTCAGCGCATAACAGAGCAGATACAGTGAATTCGGAAAGTATTCAGACGCCTTGACTTTTTCCACATTTTGTTACATTACAGCCTTATTCTAAATAGTTTTTTCCCCTCGTCAATCTACGCACAATACCCCATAATGACAAAGCAAAAACAGGTTTTTAGAAATGTTTGCAAATGTATTAAAAATAAAAAAAACTGAAATATCACATTTACATAAGTATTCAGACCCTTTACTCAGTACTTTCTTGAAGCACCTTTGATAGCGATTACAGTCTCAAGTCTTCTTGGGTATGACGCTACAAGCTTGGCACACCTGTATTTGGGGAGTTTCTCACATTCCTCTCTGCAGATCCACTCAAGCTCTGTCAAGTTGGATGGGGAGCGTTGCTGCACAGCTATTTTCAGGTCTCTCCAGGGATGTTAGATCGGGTTCAAGTCCGGGCTCTGGCTGGGCCACTCAAGGACATTCAGAGACTTGTCCCTAAGCCACTCCTGTGTTGTCTTGTCTGTGTGCTTAGGGTCGTTGTCCTGTTGGAAGGTTAACCTTCACCCCAGTCTGAGGTCCTGAGCGCTCTGGAGCAGGTTTTCATCAAGAATCTCTCTGTACTTTGCTCCGTTCATCTTTGCCTCAATCCTGACTAGTCTCCCAGTCCCTGCCGTTGAAAAACATCCCCACAGCATGATGCTACCACCACCATGCTTTACCATAGGGATGGTGCCAGGTTTCCTCCATACGTGACGCTTGGCATTCAGGCCAAAGAGTTCAATCTTGGTTTCATCAGACCAGAGAATCTTGTTTCTCATGGTCTGAGAGTCTTTAGGTGCCTTTTGGCAAACTCCAAGCGGGCTGTCATGTGCCTTTTACTGAGGAGTGGCTTCCGTCTGGCCACTCTACCATAAAGGCCTGATTGGTGGAGTGCTGCAGAGATGGTTGTCCTTCTGGAAGGTTCTCCCATCTCCACAGAGGAACTCTAGAGCTCTGTCTGAATGACCATCGGGTTCTTGGTCTGGGAGGTGACCAAGGCCCTTCTCCCCCGATTGCTCTGTTTGGCCGGGCGGCCAGCTCTAGGAAGAGGTTTCAAACTTCTTCCATTTAAGAATGATGGAGACCACTGTGTTCTTGGGGACCTTCAATGCTGCATAAATGTTTTGGTACCCTTCCCCAGATCTGTGCCTCGGCACAATCCTGTCTCGGAGCTCTACGGACAATTCCTTCGACCTTATGGCTTGGTTTTTGCTCTGACATGCACTGTCAACTGTGGGACCTTATATAGACAGGTGTGTGCCTTTCCAAATAATGTCCAATCAATTGAATTTACCACAGGTGGACTCCAATCAAGTTGTAGAATCATCTCAAGGATGATCAATGGAAACAGTATGTACCTGAGCTCAATTTCAAGTCTCATAGCAAAGGGTCAGAATACTTATGTAAATAAGGTATCTCTTTTTTATTTTTAATAAATTAGCAAACATTTCTAAAAACCTGTTTTCGCTTTGTCATTATGGGGTATTGTGTGTAGAGGATTATTTTATTTTTTAAATCCATTTTAGAATAAGGCAGTAACGTAAACAAAATGTGGAAAAAGTCAAGGGGCCTGAATACTTCCTAAAGGACACACTCCTTTCTTGAAACATTTATATATTTTCCCCTATTGAAAACTGGGATTCCTACTTTACTGGTAACATTACTTTCCTTTACTTTCATTGAAAAATATCCCTCAAACTTTGTCCGAATTCCCTTGACTTGCTGGTAAGGAAGAGTGGGGGAAATTGTTGGAAAGTTGCACGCTCACTATTAGTAAGGGGAGACAGGGTGAAATTGTAACAGTCTTTATATCTATTATAGACATGTTTGCGCAGTGGCGAACCTATTGGACCTAGGATTTCAGTGTGTAACAGGCTCGTGATGCTGAAAGAACCGCAACCATAATACCGTGTAGGAGAGTGCACTTTTTGTAATGGAGACTATACGCAGGTATACACCCTATACCCACTATTTGTTTTTCAGTGGGCATTGGCTATACTCACGCAACGGAAGGGATTAAGAAGTATCAAAGTAGAGTAGTGGAGGTATAAGACTTATTAATTATGGAGTACAATAGATAAATCATGCACAAAGTAGCCTACACAATCGCAAAGCATGTGAAATATATTCACATCCGCGCAGCACACAGCCTAGCGTCACAGAATATCATCTGCAGGCAGCAAGAGCGCACAGCTCTCAACTGGTTGTCGCATGGAGAAGCTCACAGAAGAATGACATCGGTAGCCGGTAGGTAGGAAAGAAGTTTCAACTTATGATAACTACCAGTAAAATGTTAACTAAGGCAACAATTGGTATGCAAACCAGGTATTGAAAAAGTTTGGTCCTTAGTCTTGGTTAGTAGGCTATTTGCGATCCACAATTCAGTCATCATGCACTCTTTGCATGAACATTTCTAAAGGCTTTCCCAAAAAACCTTCCCAATTAAATGTTGACTGCATGGTAGGCCTACCTGACAGAATGATATAATGCTGATTTGTATCAATGGGGAAGGCATTTGTTTTGCTCAATTGAATTAAAGGGCAACTACACCCTCCAAAAATATATTATTTCGATTTTTCCCAGACCTCATAAATTGTATCCTGATGTGGTTTAAGCATTGTTGTGGACATAGATCACGTTTGTCTTTTTTTTGTACTTTTATTTTTTTAAATTGTGATTTTGAGAGTGAACATTTTAAAAATATATAGGAAAACATAGGATTTTTCACACAGGGCGCCTTTCCTTCACACAGGACCCACTTCTCCAGGCACCACTACACCACTGCACTGGGCCGATGGAAAGACAGCAGTCCATTCACTCTGACATAATAAGCCAGTAGTTCCCAATCATAAGAATACAAAAACACAACCATTAGGCTAAGCATTTCTCAATCGAAATGTACAACTATTACTTCCCATAGCAAAAAATAAAATCACGTTTAGCACACAAATCATGGTCATTAATATGTTGTTGGTCCCCCTTTGCTGCTGTAACAGCCTCCACTATTCTGGGAAGGCTTTCCATTAGATGTTGGAACATTGCTGCGGGGACTTGCTTCCATTTAGCCACAAGAGCATTAGTGAGGTCAGGTACTGATGTTGGGCGATTAGGCCTGGCTCGCAGTCGGCGTTCCAATTAATCCCAAAGGTGTTCGATGGGGTTGAGGTCAGGTCTCTGTGCAGGCCAGTCACGTTCTTCCACACCGATCTTGACAAAACATTTCTGTATGGACCTCGCTTTGTGCACGGGGGCATTGTCATGATGAAAAAGGAAAGGGCCCACCCCAAACTGTTGCCACAAAGTTGGAAGCACAGAATCGTCTAGAATGTCATTGTATGCTGTAGCGTTAAGGTGTCTCTTCATTGGAACTAAGGTGCCTAGCCCCAACCATGACAAGCAGCCCCAGACCATTATGCCTCCTCCACCTAACTTTACAGTTGGCACTATGTATTGGGGCAGGTAGCGTTCACCTGGCATCCGCCAAACAAAGATTTATCCGTCGGACTGCCAGATGGTGAAGTGTGATTCATCACTCCAGAGAGTCCAATGGCGGCAAGCTTTACACCACTCCAGCCTACAGATTGGCATTGCACATGGTGATCTTAGGCTTGTGTGCGGCTTCTCGGCCATGGAAACCCATTTCATGAAGCTCCCGACGAATGGTTATTGTGCCGACGTTGCTTCCAGAGGCAGTTTGGAACTTGGTAATGAGTGTTGCAACCGAGGACAGACGATTTTAACGTGCTATGCGCTTCAGCACTCGGCGGTCCCATTCTGTGAGCTTGTGTGGCCTACCACTATGGCGGCTGAGCTGTTGTTGTTGCTCCTAGACGTTTCCGCTTCACAATAACAGCACAGTTGACCGGGGCAGCACTAGCAGGGCAGAAATTTGACAAACTGACTTGTTGGAACGGTGGTATCCTATGACGGTGCCACGTTGCAAGTCACTAAAGCTCATCAATAAGGCCATTCTACTGCCAATGTTTGTCTATGGAGATTGCATGGCTGTGTGCACGATTTCATACACCTGTCAGCAACGGTGTGGCTGAAATAGCCGAATCCACAAATTTGAAGGGGTGTCCACATACTTTTGATATATAGTGTACCTTCTATCACGCTTCTGATGGCCTAGCCAATGGCTGACTTAGCTAGCTAGATTTATCTCCCCAGAGACCACCAAAGAAAAATCCTGATTGGATCTTTTTTCTCTTCAGCGTTAACCCTTTACTTTCTAACAAAAAATGAAAAGATTCAATCAAAACATCATTGAAAATAATTATATTATTATTATTTTATAAATCCTTAGCCTTTCTCTGAAAGCGTAGAAGGCCCTCATTGTTCCGCACTGTGTTTGGGTTAGTAAGCATTTGTAGAGTGGCTCTATTTGCCCTCAGCATGCATTTTTTCACCATTCTTAATGTCCATAAATAATCCACGTTCTTCTGAAATATAAACTGAAATACTTAACATTTTGAACTCTTATTACAACATTTTCTGGTCTCGGTCTTGACTCGGTCTCGCTTTAGGTGTTGTCGAACACAAAACTATCCACTGATATTGGGTTCTAGTAAATTGATTGACAGGTGACAAGAGAAGTGACAAACATTGTGGGCTTGCAGAACGTCAAGCGACGGCAGTGAAAGAGAGTAGGCTACAAGCCAGTCAAACAGTAAGTTGAAGTAGTCGTCGTTTACAAACCTGCTCTATGTAACTTGATTTGTGGTTTAATGACCAAATCCAACAGCTTCTGTAACCGTTCGTTCTCCTCCTTCGAACGGGAGATTTCTTCTTGATACTCGACTATCGTCTTTTCAACTACTCCAAATATCTCTACAGCAGTCGCTATCAATCGCTCGCGCAGAAACACATTGAGCAATTGTATTTTAGACATTTTGGGAATGCAGTGTCGCTAGTATTTTATTAGCAAGGTAGATAAATTGAAAACTTATTTCAAACCCTGCTTCTTAAATGTGCGTGCCTGGAAGTAAACACTGCTCGCTCTACCTTTTTACAGTGCGTGCATGGCAACACAATACCGCACTATCGCCGCCTGTTGTCCGGAAGTGGAAACAAAGGTTGACCAATATGCTGACGTTTTTCAAACTATATTTTTGGTTCAATTGTGAGCAGAGACAGACATGACTCTCAAATGGCTATTTATAACAAAAACACTTTCCAGACTGGAACTTGGGCTGCACCCTGGCTATTGGTTAAGATTTTGGTCTAAAGATAGTCAAGAACCTTTCTGGCCGCTGTCCTAGTACTGCACACTGTTAATGAATACAGTTGAATAGACAGTAGAATAGACAGTTGAATCCTGATTCAGGGTATTATAAAGGCATGACTTTGGACTGTTTGGAATAAACGGAATACACTGCAGTGCATGCAGACATGTTGAACAGCATGCTTCTTTTCAAGTGAATATCTGTGCACTTTATATCTGATGTTTCTATTGTCTGTCTGTCTGTCCAGTTGCTAGTGAAACCTGCAGTTTGAGGAAGGGAAGATGATTGTGGCGGCACAGTCCTTCAGCTCGGGGAGCAGTGCTTCTATGGAGCTCACTGAGGAGGAGAAGGCCTTCGCTGAGCAGATGATGGTAAGAAAAGATAAATAAATAAATATGAACACTTGGCATTGGAGGACGGAGAGGTGTTGGAGGAGGGATAGGCATTGGAGGAGAGATAGGTGTTGGAGGAGAGATAGGTGTTCATTAGGCCACACAGTAGCAAAACGTTTTGCAATGGAAAATGAAAACATTTGTCAAGGTACAGTCAAGTTTGGACACCTACTTTATTTTTACTGTTTTACTGTAGAATAATAGTGAAGACATCAAAACTATGAAATAAGAGATATGGAATCATGTAGTAACCAAAAAAGTGTTAAACAAATCAAAATATATTTTATATTTGAGATTATTTAAAGTAGCCACCCTTTGCCTTGATGACAGCTTTGCACACTCTTGGCATTCTCTCAACCAGCTTCATCCGGTAGTTACCTGGAATGCATTTCAATTAAAAGGTGTACCTTGTTAAAAGTTAATTTGTGGAATTTATTTCCTTCTTAATACGTTTGAGCCAATCAGTTGTGTTGTGACAAGGTAGGGGTGGTATACAGAAGATAGCCCTATTTGGTAAAAGACCAAGTCCATATTATGGCAAGAACAGCTCATATAAGCAAAGAGAAACGACAGTCCATCATTACTTTAAGACATGAAGGTCAGTCAATCCGGAAAGTTTCAAGAACTTTGAACGTTTCTTCAAGTGCAGTCACAAAAACCATCAAGCGCTATGATGAAACTGGCTCTCATGAAGACCACCACAGCGTTACCTCTGCTGCAGAGGTTAAGTTAATTAGAGTTACCAGCCTCAGAAATTGCAGCCCAAATAAATGCTTCACAGAGTTCAAGTCACAGACACATCTCAACATCAACTGTTCAGAGGAGACTGCATGAATCAGGCCTTCATGGTCGAATTGCTGCAAAGAAACCACTAATAAAGGACACCAATAATAAGAAGAGACTTGCTTGGGCTAAGAAACATGTGCAATGGACATTAGACCGGTGGAAATCTGTCCTTTGGTCTGATGAGTCCAAATTGGAGATTTTTGGTTGCAACCGCCGTGTCTTTGTGAGACGCAGAGTAGGTGAACGGATGATCTCCGCATGTGTGGTTCCCACGTGAAGCATGGAGGAGGTGGCGTGATGCTGTGGGGGTGCTTTTCTGGTGACACTGTGATTTATTTCAAATTCAAGGCACACTTATCCAGCATGGCTACCACAACAAATTTTTTTTTTATGAGGTCTTGGCTGATTTCTTTTGATTTTCCCATGATGTCAAGCAAAGAGGCACTGAGTTTGAAGGTAGGCCTTGAAATACATTCACAGGTACACCTCGAATTGACTCAAATGATGTCAATTAGTATATCAGAAGCTTCTAAAGCCATGACATCATTTTCTGGAATTTTACAAGCTGTTTAAAGGCACAGTCAACTTAGTGTATGTAAACTTCTGACCCACTGGAATTGTGATACAGTGAAATAATCTGTCTGTAAACAGTTGTTGGAAAAATTACTTGTGTCATGCACAAAGTAGATGTCCTAACCGACTTGCTAAAACCATAGTTTGTTAACAAGACATTTGTGGAGTGGTTGAAAAACTAGTTTTAGTGACTCCAACCTAAGTGTATGTAAACTTCTGACTTCAACTGTACATTTGACAAAAATGTTAATATCGAGAGAGAGTTGCACCTATGTTTTTCTTTACACACCTTCGATTTTCAGCTGCATCTCAGTTCTCCTCTCACCCTCTGCAATAGAGAATCTGGGAAAGTGCAAAAAGAATTCCTAGATGCCTGACAGGTTGACAAGGTTGTGTTGTGATGCTGACAGTCTGCTGGTACATCTTCTGCTGTCTGTCAGGTGCTCTGGTGGGCCAGCGTCTGTCCGACCCTCCGGACATCTTGAAGCTGGGCTTCACCGGCTCCACAGAGATAGGCAAACACATCATGAAGAGGTGCGAGGTCACTATTTTGCGGGTTAACCTCAGTCCAGAGAGGTCGAGACCTTAGGCTTTGGGTGGTTGGCCTTGACCTTGACTTTTAATAGCATACTGTTTGTGTATGTAGTTCTGTGTGTGTGTGTGTGTGTGTGTGTACCTTGACACCTGTTTGTGTTTTCCTCTATCCTAGCTGTGCAGTCAGTAATGTGAGGAAGGTGTCCCTAGAACTGGGGGATAAATCTCCACTCATCATCTTCAGTGACATGGACAAGGCTGTGCGCAGGGTCAGTGGACCTTCACTGTATCTTCATTCAAATGTTACCGCAATTTCAATGATGGTCACTACCTAACAGTAATATACAAATATGAATATTTGATATATTCTTTAATATAAATGTTTCTGAATATTGTAAGGCATCAATAACAGTGTATTTCAGACCATGAGCTCTGTGTTTTTCAACGAGGGAGAGAACTGCATTGAAGCAGGCAGACTCTATGTGGGAGAGAACATCTATGACCAGTATGTCAAGAGTGGTATGTGCCTCAAGCGCTAACTTAGCTCTCTGCCATCTTATCTCACAACGTTATGCCACCTTACTACATTTTCTCACAGTGTGCTGCTAACTTAGCCACGTGCTATTTTATCTCACAGCGCTATGCTAACTTAGCCATCCACTACCTTATCTCAAGTGGAGGTTAAAAAGATAAAGATTGGGGATCCTCTGGATTGCTTCACAGACCACAGACCCCAGAACCACAAGGTCCACCTGGAAAAGCTGGTGCAGTAATGCCAGACTGGCGTGAAGGAGGGCGCCACTCTGTTGTGTGGGGGAAGACAGGTCTCCCGCCCAGGTTAGACACATGGACCCGTTTTCAGTTCATAGCGCTCTAGATTTTACTAAAATAAGCTGTGATGCAGAGTTTGGGCAATGTCAATCCAATTCCAGTCCATTCAGAAATGTAATTGAATATCACTATGCTCTGGGCCCTGGGTCTGAACCCCTCCCTGTGCAACTGGGTCATGGACTTCCTGACGGGCCGCCCCCAAGTGGTGAATGTAGGCAACTACACCTCCGCCACGCTGATGCTCAACACGGGGGCCCCACAGGGGTGCGTGATCAGCCCCCTCCTGTACTCCCTGTTCACCCATGACTGCGTGACCACGCACGTCTCCAACTCAATCATCAAGTTTACTGATGACACAACAGTGGTAGGCCTGATTACCAACAATGACGAGACAGCATACAGGGAGGAGGTAAGAGCCCCGGCGGAGTGGTGCCAGGAAAATAACCTCTCCTTCAATATCAACAAAACGAAGGAGCTGATCGTGGACTACAGGAGACAGCAGAGAGCGCAAGCCCCCATCCACATCGACAGGTCCGCAGTGGCGTGCACATCACTGACGACCTGAAATGGTCCCTTCACACAGACAGTGTGGTGAAAAAGGCGCAACAGTACCTCTTCAACCTCAGGAGGCTGAAGAAATGTGGCTTGGCCCCTAAGAACCTCACAAACTTCTACAGATGCACCATTGAGAGCATCCTGTGAGGCTATATCACCGCCTAGTACGGCAATTGCACCATCCTCAACCGCAGGGCTCTCCAGAGTGTGGTGCGGTCAAACCCAGCGCATCATCGGGGGCACACTACCTGCCCTCCAGGACATCTACAGCACACAGGAAGGCCAAGAAGATCATCAAGGACCTCAGCCATCTGAGCCACGGCCTGAGTCACTCTGCTACCATCTAGATGGAGGAGACCGTACAGGTGCATCAAAGCTGGGACCAAGAGACTGATAAACAGCTTCTATCTCCACGCCATCAGCATGTTAAACAGTCACCACTAGCCGACCTCCAACCAGTTCCCTGCCCTGAACCTTAGTCACTGTTACTAGCCGGCTACCACCTGGTACTCTACTCTGCACCTTAGAGACTGCTTTGCCCAATGTATATAGAGTCATTGAACACTGGTCACTTTAATAATGTTTACATACTGACTTTATATGTATATACTGTTGGTTAGCACAATGTTATGAAATGTAAATTTTTTATAAAACGTTTTTTTTTATGAATGAGAAATACAATGTGAAATTGAATCCCCTCTTAGAAATATGAAATGTTCACAAAATATTTTAAAACAATGATGTATACAACATCATTGGTTTGAAATTGTCTACTCTATGCAATAGATTTATTGGATTCATGGGCAATATTGGATGACAATTCAATGGAACTTAATGAATGATGATTGCCAGATCAGAGCTCGAACAAATGATCATCTGACTGAGTAAATGTGCCGTTTAACTTTTTTTCCAGATATTAAAATCAAAAAGGTTTATAATATGAATTGTCTGGTCTACAGTTTTTGTTACTTACACAATGTACATTTGATACAAAA